CCAGCCCAAACCATTCTGTAACTCTTACGATTTGCATAGGAATATCTATCCCTATCTGGACCTACTGAATATATTTTTACTGCCTTGTGGCCAAGTCTTCTTACTGCCCATAAGAACAGAATGTGAGCACAGTCTCCCTTCTGTTTCTGGGTTTCCCCACTTTGGAGTGCCCACTAGGACACTTCAGACTGGAGTCAGCATAAGAGCCAACTGAGAAGCAATGTGGAGTTTAATGTGTCAGTATAGACACAGCTATTTTTCCCTGCCTGCAAGAATTCTGGATCTTCAAACCTCCTGGAAAGAACACTGTATTATGGAGAAGACCATTGTCTCTCCTGGGATGAGAAGGACTTGGCTGCTTCTACCCTGGTAAGGCGATTATGGCTGAAGTCACATACTCCGCAATGCCTGTCCCAGAAAACACAGAATGCTTGTCCTTAGTGCTTTATAAACCACAGCGGTATAAGAAGCAGAACTGTGCGTCTGTCATGTCTCAGATGGGAGCCCACCGTAGACAGGAGGAAGACGGAGAGAGCAAGCAAGGACAAAAGGAACACATTCCAGTTAGTGCAAGCTTTTGCCACGGTTTGTGACTTAAGCACCTCCCAGGTGATGTGAGTCTCAGCCATTTTCCTTCCATAGCACAACACACTATTCCTGGGGGAAGAATCATAGAAAACTCCTAGAAAACTACCTTGGAAGCTTTTCTCTCTCACAGGTAGAAAATGATTTATAGAGGGACACAGAGGGGCTGGGACAGACTGTTTCCATGTTTATCTAAACAGGAGAGAGAATGCATTGTTTCAAACCACAGGCTGCATCCATAGGCTCAGTGAATCCCAGTAAGATATTCCCGTGACTTACTTGCTATCAAGAGGCAGCGGGGCTGCACAGAACTTGCCGACAATGGATGACTCGTCCTTCTTCCAAAACTGATTCTTGGGGAGATACTTCAGTGTCACGCTGTTTATCTGGCAGAGGGGAACTCTGTGGGCCAGCAGATGTTTGCCCATCTCCTGGTGCTTAGGTCTGCAAGGCAGGGTGAGGGACGTGAGGGAGAACAGTCAGTCAACAGGCTGTACGCAGACATGCTGAAACACTGGAGGAACCTGGGGTATTGCTGTGAAGCTCTCATGTACTAAAATGGAGTGAGAAAACTCATCTGTCAAAACAGGGCCCTGCATGAGAGTCTTACTGGCTGTCTCTCCATGCTTTATCTCTGAAGCCAGGAAATTTATTTTTTGTATAAATATCCTTCCTTCCATCACACAATTACAACTCTTCTTGCTGTTGCATGTAGATAGAAGCACTGCCCAGACTTTTACAGAGGGGTAAGGGGTAGCTAAGGTCAACATCTGTGGAATCTGTGGCACGGATAGGGATCGGTTGTTCACCCTTTCTTCCTGTGCAGGAACTAGGGGTCATCAGAGAAAGCTGACAGGCTCAGGGACATCGCACACCGCACAGAGCACCATTCCTTTTAAGCTGTTAAAACCCTTGCTGAGGGATGTGGTGGGTGCTAGAAAGTTTACAGGACTGTACAAGGCATGGGAGGGGGACTGGACAAGTTGGTGGAAGACAAAAGCATTGGGAGCCAGTAAGGACAAAGATCTTACCTTTGGCTCTGAAAGTCCCTGAGAAGTAATGAGTCAGACACTGGGAAACTATCTGGGGGAAGTATGGCTGCGTGGGGGTTTTTATATTGTTCCCTAGGTACTTGCTTTTGTCCATGTTGAAGGTGGGATGCTTGGATAGAGGGACGTGTCTGCCCTGTGCTCCTACCCAGGTAACATGAACTGAGAATGCCAGAGGTGGGGTGAACAGCCAGTGATCAGAGCCCAGTCAGCTGTGAGCTACACAGAGGCGTTGCCCAGGCATTTGCTGTAGGTGGGCCACCTCCCTTCTGGGGAGCCCACCCAGTGGGCCTTCTTACGCTTGGTCTACCTGGCACCTCTAAGAACTGGAGACCGTCGATTTCCTTGTGCTTACGAAGAATATATGTCTAGCTGACTCAGCGCAGTGCCAAAAGCATGAGGGCAACTACCTGATCGGACCCGTGATGACAGGGGAAGGTGACAAAATCCTCAGGAGGAGCCTATAATTCTGCTAACCAAAGTTTCTCCCGGGAGCAGGCTGACAGCTGCACTTGGGATCCTCCTAGGCCAGCGTGGCCAACCCAAACCAGTACATCCCATCCCTCCCTTAGACTGCAGGGGTAGATGCTGGCGGCTTTGTGTGTCCGATTCTGTCTGACTTGAAGCTGCCAAACATAGTAAGCATCATGAAATTGTGGTTATAACGGGGAACAGTGGATAGCAAATGGAAAACATAGGGGAGGCCATCTCTCTACTGCATGGTGTCCATAGGCAGGATCCAGCCCTGCCCTAGGACAGAGGAACACGGTAAGGTTAAGCAGGTTGAAGAAAGTCACTCCTGTGACTGACATTTGGTCCAGCCCTACACGCCCT